TGTCAACAGACGACCAGATTGCAATCAAATGAGCCAAGGCTGCACCGAGGAAAAGACAGTTCTGTGCAAATGAAAATTCAGATCAAACGGCAGTTCAGAGAGCTTCCAATGCTGAGAATATGCAAAGACTTAAGGACTCTCAAACATCTGAACAAGCCGAAGGCCGAATCAAGATAGGGTGGCTTTTAAGCTAGTAAATAATATATGAAAAAAAACAAAAAAATAAACAATCTTCTAACTAAAAGTGCTGTTTGGAAATCTGATAGACATTTAATACTTAAAATGATGGATGATTAAAATAAAAAGAGCCAAGGTTGCAGCGAGGAAAAGAAAGTCCCATGCAAATGAAAACTCAGATCAAATGGCAGCTAGAAGAGTTTCCAATGCTGAGAATATGCAAAGATTTAGGGACTCTCAAACTACTGAACAAGCCGAAATTCTAATAAAGTGTCTACCGCAGGAGTTGGTTTAAATGCCACATTGAAAGATTGATATATATATATATATATATATATCAGAATATATATATATATATATTTTCTGTGAACATATATGAAATAATTATTTTTTTTTCTGTAAATCATTTTTTTTTAAAAAACATTTTAAAAAAAGACATGCAAAGACATCCACCAACAGAGGACCAGATTGCAATCAAAATAGCTAAGGCTGCAGTGAGGAAAAGAAAGTCCCGTTCAAATGAAAAACTAGATCAAACGGCAGCAAGGAGAGCCTTCCAATGAGGCGGAAATGCAAAGACTTAAAGAATCTCAAATCTCCTGAACAAGCCGACAGGGCGGCTTTTAAGCTGGTATGAAATAAATATTAAATATGCATTATTAAATATTAAAGGTTATCGCCCTTTGAAGAAAAAAAAATGAACAATAGAGGGCGTTTCGTATATTTGTAGGCTTTCAAATCAAGTCCCAGCTGCTCAAAATAATAATTGGATAAAAAACATTGCGTAGTTCCTGTCGGTAAATGCCACTGACGACAATACCGTTTCTTTCACCTGTTCAATTGAAATTCTTATTCTTATCATTTATGATATTCCAAAACGATTTATAGATTTCGCTATATTGAGAAATCGATATCACCTCCCCCCGACTGTTACAATCTAAAAATCAGTCATATATATAAAGACGTTCTTTTTATAGGAAGAAATATTTAAGTAAATGCTCTCTTTATAATAAACAGTATTAACGATATTGAGCGGCCTGAATGTCCAAGAAATTTTCATAGAAAATATCCGTCCTCCGACAGGAATCGAACCTGTATCCTGTATGACATATAGCTTTCCCTGCTTTTACCGATTGAGCCACAGAGGAGCGTTTCGGTTAGCAAAGTCGATTTTACTGTTTTTAAACTACAATTCTCCATGATTTTCTCTCGTACATTCATATCTGCTCGATGCGTATCCAAATGTAAACAAATGACGTCACACATTATGAAATGGACAAAGTCCGACAATTATTTTCAAGACATTTTTTTATGTTTATACGTTGTTTTTATAGATACAAATATTTAAGAAAATTCTCTGTTTATAATGTTTATAACTTAAATATTTGCATCTATAAAAAGAACGTATAAATATAAAAAATATCTTAAAATAATTAGGATTCTTTGTCCATTTTATATGTGTGTTCATATATATATATATATATATATATATATATATATATATATATATATATGAAGAAATATAGTCTTAAGATGTGCTATATTTATGGGATAAAGTGCTCAATATCAGAATTAGAGCGTCTGTAAATATAAAAGTGAACATAGAAGTCAACACTTAGAGGCGACAGTCTGTTTCATGCTAGATGCAATCTTCAGGTTTTTATATATATATATATATATATATATATATATATATATATATATATATATATATATATATATATACTAAATCGAACTTCTCGTTTCCATGTGAATGTCTTTCTGTGCCATTCGCTAGATTCCGAATAAAATCCTTAGAAATATTTCTGTCATCTCATTTACAGTGGCGACGCCGAGTGGCATTATCCTTTTTACTAAAATGACAGGCTGTTGAAAGACGTTTACGAAGACCTACTCCGGGATAATGACTAATCGAAAAATATATAATTACAAATACTTATGTGCAAACCTTCGCAAAGTATGCCACCACTTCTTATGGTATAGGTAAACTTGTATTACTATAAGATACTGTTAATTTTTTTTTTTTAATCATTTCAACCCAAGCAAGGCAATAAAGTCATTAAGGCGCAAATTATTTGCTTATATATGAAAAAAATATAAGAAAATGCTAAGGAGAGAGAGAACAATTAAAGAAGACTGAAGATAACGATTGACATTGCATTTAAATTATTGAAGAACAAATTGAGAATATGAGAAAAAGAAAACGCTATTAAGGAGAGAGGACAATAAAAGAACAAGAATTAAGAAGACAGAAGATAACGATTGACATTGCATTTAAATTTTTTGAAGATCAAATTGAGAATATGAGAAAAGAAAAACTATT